GTTCTTCAACCTCAGCATTACTGACATTTGGGGCTGGGTAATTCTTTGTTGTGAGGCTGTCATGGGGACTGCAGGATGTTTAGCAGCATCCTTGGCCTCCACCCACTAGATGCCAAAAGCATCTCTCGGGTTGTGACAACTCAAATATCTTCTGGCGGGGGAGGCAAAATCAGCCCTAGTTGAAAAATACTGGCCCAGAGCAATTAAACATATAAAGATGTAGCTTTAATTTTCTAATAAATACCCTAACCAGGTAGAAAAGTAATTTAACACACTAAAAGTATTTATACTCACTTAGCTAAAATTCCCACACTTAGCAATAACTTTATAACTTCTGTGATACACACGGCTGTGGTTGAAAAGTAGAGTTCTTTGTCTGATGTCCTTGTGTATCTTAAAGCTATGGTATAGGCTGCAGCCATCAGGGTCATCACTGCCAAGCAGTATAACTTGAATAATAAAGTGACATTGTCTGGAAAATACATGCAACAAAGACATTACTCATTAGCCAATATACGTATATATAAATTAATCAACTAGTTGTGGCCCCCAAATACTTTCCAATTCCAAGCACAAAATATTTTCTAAAACCTATGTTTAAAAATTTTTTCAAAATAATACTTGTCAATTACACGAACACACACACATACACAAGACACAGCTGACTTTAAACATCAGCCAATTAGGCGTATGTTCCTGGGGAGTACCCCAATTGCAAGAGTAGGTAGCATATTGATTTTAGTTCAGGATGTTACAAATTACATATATATGTAATATGTACATATATATAGTTGTATATGTACATATATGTATAGTTGTTGTTTTTATTTGGAGACAGGGTCTCACTCTGTCCCCCAGGCTGGGGTACATTAGTGCAACCTCAGCTCACTGCAACCTCTGACTCCCAGGTTTAAGTGATTCTTGTGCCTCAGCCTCCTGGGACTACAGGCATGCAATACCAAAGCCAGCTAATTTTTTGCATTTTGAGTAGAGACAGGGTTTCACCATGTTGGCCAGGCTGCTCTCAAACTCCTGACCTCTGGTGATCTGCCCACCTCAGCCTCCTGAAGTGCCAGAATTACAGGTGTGAGCCACTGTGCCCGCACATATTTATTTATTTTATTTTACTTATTTTCAGACAGGGTCTCACTCTGTCACCCAGGCTGGACTGCAGTGTCATGATATCGTTGGCACGATCTTGGCTCACTGCAACCTTCACCTCCTGGGTTCAAGCGATTCTCCCACCTTAGCCTCCTGAGTAGCTGGGATTACAGGTGCCCGCCATTACACCAGGCTAATTTTTGTATTTTTAGTAGAGATGGGGTTTCACCATATTGGCCAGACTGGTCTTGAACACCTGACCTCAGGTGATCCACCCTCCTCAGCCTACCTAAGTGCTGGTATAAGCCACCATGCCTGGCTCTGGCACATATTTTAAATACCTTTATGGATTACAAACTTGTGAATGCAAAGCATAAAAGCAACTGCAGCAATGTATATTCTAAACTTAAAGGCAGCAGAAAGAAAATAACTGAGAAATAAGAGTGGGGCTTAATAAGCAAGTTATGCCTAGTCACTCATTTCATTGCATTATACAACACAGTAACTCCCAACACAGGAAAAAAATATTAAGAACACAGCTCCATTCAAAACCAAAAATGCAGGAAACATATAAGCACTCAATGTAAGAACTGCCTGTAAGTATATCCAACCAGGAGCCATCTCTCAGGCACCAAAGCCTGTCCAAAACCTCTGGTAAAACCATAAGCACTGGGTACAGTCTCCCTCATAATTCCTTATTCCCAGACCTGCTCGGTTACTTACTGCCACCACCCAAGGATCAAACTATTTCTACTTTCCTTACCCGCCTCCCACCTCGTGTCCCTAGTTCCCTTTCATGTTCATGCACATCTTTAGGCTTGAGGTTAAACAGCCATACTTTGACAACCCCAGGTTAAGAAACAGGACACGGGGGAACTCCAGTCTGCTACTTTAACTACATTATGTGCTAAGTGTGATTTTGTTCACTGCTTTGGGAGCCTAACACAATTCAAAGACTGTTTTCATAGGGACATAAAACAGGAGTGTCAAACAGATTTTTTTTTTTTTTTTTTTTTTTTTTTTTGAGACAGAGTTTCACTTGTTGCCCAGGCTGGAGTGCAATGGTACGATCTTGGTTCACCACAACCTCTGCCTCCTAGGTTCAAGCGATTCTCCTGCCTCAGCCTCTCGAGTAGCTGGGATTACAGGCATGCACCACCAGGCCCGGTTAATTTTGTAGTTTTAGTAGAGATAGGGTTTCTCCATGTCCATCAGGCTGGTCTCGAACTCCCAACCTCAGGTGATCCACCTGCCTCAGTCTCCCAAAGTGCTGGGATTACAGGCATGAGCCACTGTGCCCAGCCCAAACAGATTACCTTTAGATACAGTATGGTTGGAACTTAAAAGAGATAGGTTCCTCAATATAAATATTTTCCAAGTAAATTAAAGAATATTTTGTGAACTATAGGCAAATTTTAAAAATTATATCAGGCTTTAAATAAAAAGTAAAACAGAAGAAATAGTTTATAATTGCTTAAACTTTCTTTCCAAAAGATCTGAGGAGCCAAAAATCAATGTTATATAAAAGGAAGTGAAGGAGATCACTATAATACTTCCTTCGTTCTAAAACTTCCCTACACAAGGGACAAAATATGACTTCAAAAATAAACAGCAATAACCTTTAATTAGAAGAGAAGTTACTCCCCATCTTCTAGATAAGGGGTGAACAAGCTACAGATGTCGATAGTTTACATTAGGCCTGTGAACTCAGAATGGTTTTACATTTTTAAATCGTTGATAAAAAAATTTAGTAACACCTTGTGACACATGAATATTGTATGAAATTCAAATATTTCCGTGTCCATGAATAGTTTTATTGGAATGTAGCCATGCTTATTTGTTTCTAAATTATCTGGCTACTTTTTTTCCCCTACAACAGCAGAGCTGTAGTTATGACAAAAACTATCCAGCCTTTATAGGAAAAGTTTGGCAACTCCTGTCCTAGATTATCAACACTTTCATAAATAAAAGCGGTTAGGGCTGATACACTAAAAAGTACTTTAGTTTACCTATTGTATAGGTTCCTGATTCCAAAAACAACATAGTGAATATTTAAACACTAAACCAAATAGTTATATCCTACACACACATTCTGACTTATAATATTGTCATTAACTTGAAAAAATACCTATTTACATAGTGACTATTTGGAAATATACATTATATTCTTGAAAATAATTACCAATCTAAGTGGAAGGGTAATCAAATAAGTTCAGGTATTTGCAAAACAGATTGGGCTTTGATATGGAATACCATTTTTAAACGTATTTCAACTTTTAAATAATACTAAATGTTTTTAAGTATGATTTTCTCCGGCAGTTTAACATCAGATCAAACCATTTCTCGTTCACTCCATTCACAAATTCTCCAGTATAAAATTTCCGTTATTAGCAATTTCCATTTTTTTCAGGATATCAAAAGTACACATGTAATCACTTCAAACTGCGCAAATAATTCAAATCATGCACAATGCCAGTAACTATACAAGAATTCCACAACTCAGCTGGCAGCCACATCTTAATGTGCATTGTTCTCTACTTCTCATGAAGTTCCGTTAGCTTCCACACAGTATTCGTATGGAAATGTCCCCCAAAAGAAACTTACAGTATTATTTTTTTCAGTTACGTTTTACTATAGTTTATGGGGGACGTTATTTGTAATATCTAAGAACTGAGAAATTCAGGAAGTCTCCGCTAAGTCCTTTGTGGATATTCGGAAGCTATGGGAACTTCAATTTTGCTGGGATTACAATCAAGGCTCAACAAATATGTATTGGCAATAAGCCTAAACCTTTACATTGTTGCAGCTATTTCAAGTAATGATTTGACTTCTGTAATTTATAAGTTTTCATTCGGATCAATTTTGCTACCCTTTTCCATTTTAGTTATCAAAATAATTCTATTTCTTTTTCATTTCCTGTGTTGCTACAAAAAGGATTTTAAGATTAGACTTATTTGAAATAAAATATAAAGAACACATAAGAGAAGCATAAAAATGCCCCTGAGCAGGACCTGATGATAAACATGGAGCCCGCAACAGGGAAAATAACTTGACACTCAGGCAAGAAGATATTCCTTAGGTATTTGTTTAGTATTTATTCAAAGGTGAAGCCAACTGCTCTATGGAGGAAGGGTGGGGCAAGAATCCGGGTGTCGCCCAAACTCTCCTAGTTACTGCTCCACCGTCAAAAAATTCAGCTCTGGTCCCACCTTATATACAGTGCTCAGCAAAAGTGGTGCGGAGTCAATTAGACTCGCCTTCCTTAAATGGCAATTAGTCAACAAATACGCCTTCACCTGAATGTGCCATCCCTTGGGAGGAAAGAGGTGGATCTCACCTTCCACCCCAAATATCGAAGCGTTCCTTCTGACTGCATACAGCATTCTCTGTAACTACATACAGCATACAGGTGGGAACTGTTAACGATTATCTTCCTCCCGTTACGGTTTCAGTGCTGTTTCGACGCCCCAGCGACTTCTTTATTGGGGTCTACGGCCGGAGCCTGCCCTTAAGCCTCTGAGCATCCTCAAGGCAAGAGGCGCAGAGGAGACCGAAGCCGCGGGGCCAGGGCCAAGAACTGTCCTGCCTCGCCGGGTGATGCGGTCCAGCCCCGGCCCCACGCCCTGGCCCCTCTCGGTGTTCGCCGCAGCCCCGGCCTATCAGAATTCGGTTCCCACCCACCGCCAGCTCGTGGAGGCCAGCGCCGACCTGCCGGCGCGGAGTCAGCCGCGGAGACTGCAGCCGCAGCGGGAGGCCGGCTGCCCTGACGGCCGACAGGCTCCACGCAAACTCCTGACGCCTCGGCCCGGCCCCACAGGCCGTGGGCAACCAAGGGGCTCTGCCTCCCGACAAGTGCCGCCCCCCGCAGACTCCCCACTCCCGGCAGCCAGGGTTCTCACCTCTCGGGGCAGCCATGGTTCCCCGACAGCCCCGCGCGGAACTGACGCCCGCCCCCTCCGCGCCCCCGAGCAGGACACCGGGGACCGCCCCTTGTGGTCATAGAGACGGAGCCGCTCGGCCTAGAGCGCCTCGCCGGCCTCCCGGTAGGCCAAGCGTTGAAAATGGGCTCAGGAATCCGAGCTACACCCCAAAATGGGGAGAACGCGGAACCAGCGAAGGCGTTACCGGCCGCCTCCTAGGCGAGAGGTGTGTGAAAGTCGGTCCGGGAAGTGGTTCTGTAAACTGCGGCTCTGCGCCGGCCGCAGGAAGCGGAGTCAAGGGAGCGTTGCCTTCTGGGAATCGTAGTCCTCGCAAAGTGAGTAGGCGGCAAATAAGGATTTGGGGTTAGCCTAAGGGATTCACACCTGTCAAAGCTGTTGGAGAAGCTCCCAGAACTCGTAAAGTAACACAAACTACTTGCGGCAACGTTTATAACTTCCACCTGGTTCATTACCTTCAACTGTTACCTTGTATTCTAGATTAGTTATGATTTATGCTACATATTGTTCAATATCGTCAGCATTGTCATTCATATATTTACCCAGCCAGACATTCTAACTAATTATCTTCGCACAACAAAAGGGCCTTTAAAAATTAGATGTATCGCCGGGCGCGGTGGCTCACGCCTGTAATCCCAGCACTTTGGGAGGCCGAGGCGGGGCGGATCACGAGGTGAAGAGATCGAGACCATCCTGGCCAACATAGTGAAACCCCGTCTCTACTAAAAATGCAAAAAAATTAGCCAGGCGTGGTGGCACGCGCCTGTGGTCCCAGCTACTCGGGAGCCTGAGGCGGAAGCATCGCTTCAACCCAGGAGACAGAGGTTGCAGTGAGTCGAGATTGCACCACTGCAAAGCAGCCTGGGGACAGAGCAAGACTCCATCTAAAAAAAAAAAAAAAAAAAAAAAAAAAAAAAAGATGTATCGGCCCGCCGCAGTGGCTAACGCCTGTAATCCCAGCACTTTGGGAGGCCGAGGTGGGTGGATCATGAGGTCAGGAGTTCAAGACCATCCTGGCCAGCATGGTGAAACCCCGTCTCTACTAAAAGTACAGAAAATCAGCCGGGCGTGTTAGTGCAAGCCTGTAGTCCCAGCTACTTGAGAGGCTGAGGCAGGAGAATTGCTTGAACCCCGCAGGCAGAGGGTGCAGTGAGCCGAATTTGCGCCACTGCACTCCAGCCTGCGCAAGAGTGAGACTCTGTTTTAAAAAAAAAAAAAAAATTGTATGTATCGGCTGGGCGCAGTGGCTAGATCATCCGAGGTCAGGAGTTCGAGATCAGCCTGGCCAACATGGTGAAACGCCTAAAAATACAAAAAATCAGCTGAGCGTAATCTCAGCTACTCGGGAGGCTGAAGCGGGAGAATCACTTGAACTCGGGAGGTCGCAGTGAGCCGAGATCGCGCCAGCCTGGGTGACACAGTGAGACTTGGTCTCTAAATTAATTAATTAATTGATTAAATTAGATGCATCAACAGGCATTTTAACCACTATAATCTTCACTTTCACTAGGAGATGTTAATTAGCTGCCATAATTGGTATTAGAAATAATTCATTGGTGCCGGGCGCGGTGGCTCAAGCCTGTAGTCCCAGCACTTTGGGAGGCAGAGGCGGGTGGATCACGAGGTCGAGAGATCGAGACCATCCTGGTCAACATGGTGAAACCCCATCTCTACTAAAAATACAAAAAATTAGCTGGGCATGGTGGCGCGTGCCTGTAATCCCAGCTACTCAGGAGGCTGAGGCAGGAGAATTGCCTGAACCCAGGAGTCCGAGGTTGCGATGAGCCAGAGATCGTGCCATTGCACTCCAGCCTGGGTAACAACAGTGAAACTCCGTCTCAAAAAAAAAAGAAAAGAAATAATTCATTGGTAAAATAAATGATGTTCAAGGTACGTGAATTGGTTTAAAATGCTATGAAAATACCTTAGCCCTTACGGGAATAGGGATGCAAGATTCTGAGCTGCCCTGCAGCCTACACCTTCTGCAGCATGTTCTTTCTCCAAAATTGTCCTTTTAGAGGGTTGATTGGTGATGTTAAACACCATTGTCTTGTTAAACATACATATAGATCTATCTGGTCTGTTAACGTTACTGGAACATTTTGCATGCCTTATTAGCATCCTATTAATATTGGGAGGGGCTCTCAGGAGACCAGAGTTGATTTTGTAGAGGCAGACATTTGAAATGTAATTTGGAATAGTGTTAGACTTTTCCTCTACCGCGTAGGAAGTGTGCTCACTGGTGCCAGTCATCCCTTCCTGTAATTGGTAGTTTCCACTTGTAGAATTATTCAGTTCTCTGCAGCATATGCACTTACGCATACATTTAAACAGAAAATTTTTTTCTGTACTTGAAATTAATTTTAAAAATTAAAAATACTCTATCATATACTGTAGTCCTTTTGTTTTACAGCTACTGCTTTGTATGGTTTATCTCTTCCCATTTTGGACTATCATTGTAGTGTCAACTTACCTCAATTAAGTATAATTTCTAAACACTTAATTTGTTCCAGTATGGCCCTTGTATGCCTGCCTCTTTTTTCAGTCTGCACCACCTTGTTTTACTTTTTTTTGTAGAGATTTCTTTTTGTGGGTGTGGGCGTCTCACTTTGTTGCCCAGGTTGGTTCTCGAACTCCCAACCTAAAACAATCCTCCCACCTCAGCTTCCCAAAGCTCTGGGATTACAGGTGTGAACTACCACACCTGGCCATCACTAGCTTTCTGAAATATGTTTTAATTTGTGACAATAAGAGGGGTTTTTTTTTCCCCTGTCCTAGGTTGTAGAATCAACTACACTTTAAGAAACTATCATTCCTTCTGGTAAGGAATAGCATCACACACACCACACACACACACACACACACACACACTGATCCCAATTAAGATGGTGGGTCAAGTGCTGCTGGGCCATTTTGTGGCATTTCTGGCTCACATAACATCATGCTATTGAATCTTACTTTTCTTATACATTTTCATTGCCTCAAAAGACTATTATAGTTCATTGGCATCAACCTTAACTAGATTTTGATGCCTCTTTGTCCTAACCCAGTTAGCCCAAGACCAACAGGGACAAACCTGTTAAAACTATAGTCTGACAAAGTTGAGCTTACTGATGCCTTCTGATATATAATGTGAATATTTGTCTCTGCCCAGATCTCATGTTGAATTGTAATCCCCAGTGTTGAAGGTGGGGCCTGGTGGGAGTTCTGGATCATGGGGCAGATCCCTCAAGAATGGCTTGGGCCATCCCCTTAATGATAAGTGAGCTCAGGAGAACTGGTGTTTTAAAAGTATGTGATCTGGTGTTTTAAAAGTATGTTTCTCCCTCTCCCCCCTCCCCCGTTCCTCCCTCCCTCTCTCTTTCCCTCTCTCTCTCCCTCTCCCCACCTTCCTCCCTCCCTCTCTCTTTCCCTCTCTCTCTCCCTCTCCCCCCTTCCCCTCTCTCTCTCTTTCTCTCTCTCTCTCTCCCTCTCTCTCCCCCTCTCCCTCCCTCTCTCTCTCTCTTTCCTTCCCTCTTTCCCTCTCTTTCCTTCTCTCTCCCTCTCCTGCTCTGGCCATGGGACGTGCCTACTCCCGCTTCACCTTCTGCCATGAGTAAAAGCTTCCTGAGGCCTCCCCAGAAGCATATGCCAGTACTGTGTTTCCTGTACAGCCTGCAGAATTGTGAGCCGATTAAACCTATTTTCTTACATACTCAGTCTCAGGTATTTCTTTATAGCAATGCAAGAACCACCTGATACACATTCCAATGAGGGAAACTGAACACTAGAGGTATCTCAGGAAGGAAAGGAAAAGATACATTTATAGTTGTTTGTTTTTTTTTTGGGGGGGGGGGGTGGGGACAGAGTTTCGCTCTTGTTACCCAGGCTGGAGTGCAATGGCGCGATCTCGGCTCACCGCAACCTCCGCCTCCTGGGTTCAGGCAATTCTCCTGCCTCAGCCTCCTGAGTAGCTGGGATTACAGGCACGCGCCACCATGCCCAGCTGATTTTTTGTATTTTTAGTAGAGACGGGGTTTCACCATGTTGACTAGGATGGTCTCGATCTCTCGACCTCGTGATCCACCCACCTCGGCCTCCCAAAGTGCTAGGATTACAGGCGTGAGCCACCACGCCCGGCCACATTTATAGTTTTTTAGGGAAGCATGGGAGTAGGTGAAATTTAAAGAAACAGTGTTTGATAAACTGAAAGCAGGACTGTATGCACCCAATAGGGACTGTAGAATAGTCTCAGGATCCTGTTTCTTGGAAACTACAAAGTTACCATAGATGTGGAATGTTGTATTCAGGAGCCCCTTAATTGAGGCTGCTTCTTTGTATCAAAATGACATAGATCCCCAAAGCAAGAGTAGGGTGTTGCATTCTTGCTGACATAATTTCAAGCAGCAAATTCTCCTAGAGTATATGATTTTAGAGAACAAAGTTTTTCAGTGATTTAGAAAGCAAACACTAGAAGGGCCTTGCTGTTATACTTTACAGCATCAGCGTATCCTTAGGAGAAATATTATTTCCCATTAACTTTGCAGCTGGTTTTACCTGGGTTTGTTATCCCAGCTCAATTAATGACAAAGTGGCTATTTATAGTCTTAGTCTGAGCTAATTTTTACTTTCTCATTCTGAATTATCCCTAGTTTTGGAGGAAAAAAATATTGATTTAATGTATTTCTTTTGTGTATGCCTTCTTTTCCTTATAGTTCTGGTTAGAGCAACAATCAGCAATCCTTAACATGTGAGATACAAGGCCCTGTGCCTATAAACTAACCTATAGTGCTTCGAGCAGCCATTGCTATTGTCACTTGAGTCCCTAATGATTCCTGATTGTCACTAGAAAACTACAGTAATTGCCTCAATCCCCTGCTCTCATCTATTTCTGCTCAGGTATCAGAACTACCCTCATCTCAATGACATATAAAAAGAGGCCCAGTACTGCATCTATTGGTAATAAAGTAAAAGTATGAACTTAAGTAAGCAAGAAGGCTGTGAAGAATCAAATACCAAAAGGCTTACAGAGGTTATAATTAAATCAGATACAGTAGCTATATAATAGATTATTAAATGTGATAATGTTTACAGAATAGTAAACAGTTGACCATAAAGAACATATAGACAAATATAGATACCAAAAGAAAATTGTTTCCCTGACAATTTAAGCGTTATCACTTTCATTGTGCTATTAAGCATCTAAACCCAATTTGCTAAGATATTGTCTTATTTTGTTTTGTCTTGAGATGGAG